TTCCCTAGGCGTTGCTATGCAACGGCTTCCAACAAGGGGGGCTTCTACGCCAGGGTTGTGATTGTCTCACAACAACCTCAGACTCGGACTTGTCCGTCCCATTCAGAACTCACTAACTCAACTCTTGAAGGTCAGAGTCAAAGTTATGTTACGATTGATGGTCATTCGGCCAGTCACGGCGTCAAGCCCCATCTGGGGCCCAAGACCAGATTTTATTACTGTCAGACAGTTTGTTGTGGGGGGCGTCCGCTCTGACGAAAGAACCGGTCTGTCGTTTACAATTCCTGTTGGTCCTCGCCAGTGCAGTTATTCTCGGGTCAGAGTCCCGAAGGACTCAAGACCATGTTTTACTGTCTCAGTTTCCAGACTTCCGCAACCTGAAGGGCCAGGTCCCCATATTTACATCCCCCAAGAACATGATGGCCAAGTTATACCCCCAGGAATTGGGCTCCCTTCTGGTCGTCTTCTACGACTCGCAGATGGAGGTATTCGAACCCGCCTCCACAAGGACCATTCGACTCCTGAAAGCGTGGATTAGATCTCGTTATATAGCCCCTGCATCGACCCAACAGAGGACACTGCTTCCAACAATTCCTCAATTGTTGCATAATCATTACCGCGGTCATGTAAGTAGGCTGCCTTGGAAACGTGTTTATAGAGCTGCTGCCTAGAAACGGCAATCTCTTCTGATTCTGTTATAACGGCTTTGAGCAAACATGTCACACTATGAAGAATGCATTCATACACTTGACAGAGGGAGATGATAGATTTCACACGTGCGAAACTGTCCACAATACTAACTACATGTAGATAGACTGGTAGGGCCCGAAATCCATTCTGGATACGACGCATCTAAGGAGAATTGAACCCCAGCCGCTCATCCATTACCGTATCTCATTTACTTAGCTATCATGAATCAATAATATCAACATAAACGTCAACAAAATATTCTGGGTCTGCATCTTTGTTCTCTTGAGTACGAAGATCAAACGCGTAAGGGCGAAGGAAGACAAACAATCAGCACTGGAGCACATAGGCGTTCTTTGCGTAACCCTCACTCACTCATGGTGCTGAGTCTTTCCTGAGAAGCCGCCAATTGTGCAGCTGCCCAAGAACTTCCCAGCATTTTATTTAACCCGAAGGTTCATTACCGTGTTCACAAGAGCCCTCCACTGGTCCCTATCCCGAGCCAGATGGTTCCAGTCCATACCACTCCAAACTCTCTCTCTAAGGACTATTTTAACACTGTCCAACCTCCAACGTCTTTGTCTTCCTAATTGTCTCTTTCCTTCTTTCTTTCCCACCAAAGTCCTATATGCACCCCTCTTTAACCTTATGCGTGCTACATGCCCTGCCCCTCTCTTCCTGCATGACTTGATCATTCTAATTATGTTTGGCGAGGAGTACAAGTTATGAAGCTCCTCATTATGCAGTTTTCTCCAACCTCCTGTCACTTCATCTCTCTTCGGTCCAAATATTCTCCTCAACACCCTGTTCTCAAACACCCTCAGCCTACTAAATGAAGTGCAGCAGGGTTCTTCAGTATACTAAGGTAAAGTAAAGGTATCCATGTAACAGGCAATGGAGGCCCATAGGGTTGTGACATGTTGAGGTTCCCATATTTTCTAGACAATCGGCTCATAGATGGCGGCAAGGTTCTCAGCCCTACGCGCCTGCCGCCCTTTACCCCCAACAATATTCCAAGAATATTCCTGGTACTCATTTCTATTAGAGGCTGAGCCGACGCCAGGGCCATAGTGTGGCTGGAAGGATTAGGTCAATTTAAAAAAGTCCAATAGCCTCATTGGGACTTGAACCCGCGACCTTCCGGCTTGTAGCTTAGTGCTTCAACCAACTACGCTACCGCGTGCCCCCACATTTCTTATTTCAGTTCTTATATAAAGTGGTCTGATGATGTCATCCTTCATATGTCGAAACATGTAACCTCATGTCCATGTGTACAAGCTGTTTGTGGAAGTGAAAGCAGATTGTGACTAAAAAATAATCGAAACAATAACAAGAACTAATAAAACAGAAAAGTGTATTAGATCTGTACCCCGAGCAACTTCCAACCTATATTAGTCCGTTATGATAGGAATACTAATTAGCAGTTATGTTTTACTGAACAAGGCTTGCTTGCATACGAGCATATATTTATGTGAATCATTGAAAGATAACATTTAATATTGAGCTTGTATGAATTCGAGGAGCCGGTGACAGTAGCCGCGCGGTCTAAGGCATTAACCGTCTTTGCTCGCTCGGACGCTGGTATCGTGGGTTCGAATCCCACTTAGGGCATGGATGCTTGGTGTGTGTATGCGTTTATTCTATGTTTGTGCTGTCCTGTGTTTATGTAGCGACCTTGCGGCAGGCTGATCACTCGTCCAAGGAGTCCTGCCGACTGTGTAAAATGATTACGGAACTGAATAAGAGGCCTTGTCCCTGAATGGGCTAGAAGAGCCATTGAAAGAAAATGAGTTCAATGATATCGGGTTGGTTGAGAGACTAAGCATATTCAGTTTCAGAGTTACTTCTCAGTTGGTAAATTTTGTGAGATGCGATACAATTCATTAGAAAGCCTGTACTAAATTTTGCGAGATGCGATGCAATTCATTAGAAAGCTTACTAAATTTTGTGAGATGCGATATAATTCATTAGAAAGCTTGTACTAGATTTTGTGAGATACGATTCATTAGAAAGCTTGTATTAAATTTTGTGAGATGCAATATAATTCATTCGAAAGCATGTACTTAATTTTGTGAGATACGATATAAGTCATTAGAAAGCTTGTACTAAATTTTGTGAGATGCCACATGATTCATTAAAAAGCTTGTACTATTCATGAGAGCACAAAGTCACGGGAAAACAATATTGTCCCTGCGGAATCTGAACCAATCAGAGCGGCTTGGCTGTTTTCGCAACTTCAGGGGAAAACACAGGTTTGAGTTATGACGCCAGAACGGTGCATGAGAAACTTGCAGCTATTGCCTAAAATAGGTTTCACGTGTACTGTGAGAGGGCGGAGACAGGCATGTTTACGGTAGTGAGCAATGTATTCATTCATTCAGACGCTCTGTGGTGCTCGTGAGGTAATCTGCATACCTGAATAACTTGTCACTCGGTGCTGGCTGGCGTACATTGTATGGGAACCATGATTATGGCATATTTACATTAGAGAAATATGCACGTTTCGTCACGCGATGATGAAGGCGTTGGATCTGTACTAAAAGAACCATTAACGTTTACACGCGGATGTCCGCAATGCCCTCTCTTGCCTGTTCATTTCTGAAGTCAGAACAGGGCTAATTTGAACGGCTAACTTAACAGAGAAAATCTTATGAAATACATGTGATATGAAGGCTGTTGATAGCTATGAAGAGTACTGTATTATTTAATGCGACGCCTTGTAGTCTGGTAGAAATTACCTACGTTTCGGAGGAATGCACTGTTTCCATCTTCATGGTCGAAGATTAAGAAAAGTAACGAAGTGACATATAAGTGATGGTAGTGGCTATGAAGAGTGCATTATTATTAGATGTGACTCTGTATAGTCTGGTAGAAATTTACGTACGTTTCGGAAGAATGTACTGTCTCCATCTGGTCGAAGTGTAAGGTGAACAATCAAGCAAAGTAGCAAGCTGCAAGCATAATGGCTTATTCTTCGACCCTGAAGATGGAAGCAGTACGTTCCTCCGAAACGTTGGCAAGCTTCTACGAGACTAAACGGGGTCAAATATCAGAAGCTAATGGGCCTACTCTCTCTTCACAGTATGTTAATTGACAGGACGTTACTTGTTTATCCCTGACGACTTGCGTTGAAACCGAGTACGCTGGCTCAAACGGTAATGCTCATTTTCTGAGGTGACTGGTTCGAATCTCGGCCAGTAGACTGGCTGTCCTGGCTGAAGTTTGTTATGGTTTCCCTATGTCACTACAGGCAAATTCCGGGACATGAACCCAAATTAAGCCATGATCGCTCCATTTCCCATCAGATAACAGTTCATTATTCACCATTCGACACTATCTTATTCACGCTACTACCGACGCCATTGTATGACATATAGTCTTTTGTTGAGTCAAAATCATAGGAGCAGTGATACTGTTTCTATGCTGCACTGAACTGCACTGTTGCCATGGATAGGCATATGCTGCCTACAAGCTATTGAAATTATGTTTCATCCTAGTAACATATGTTTTTACCATCTTACATGCCACATCTCAGGCGGTTAGTCGCCGGCTTCCAACCGCGGAGGCCCGGATTCGATCCCATGTCAGGTGACGTGGAATTTGTTGTGGACAAAGTGGCACTGGATCAGGTTTTCTACGAGTACTTCGGTTCCCCTGACAATTCTCATTCCACCGACTGCTCCACACTCATCATCATCATCATCATCATCATCATCATCATCATCATCTATGAAGCGGGGCTGATTACTGGCTGACGTACTAAGTGGACTCAGTCTCACCACATCTCACCACCAGGGTGGCTGGTAATTAATTAATTGAAAAGAAGTGGAAGAAAGCGCCGTGACCTCATTAAGAACTGCTCCGACATTTGGTTGTGGATAATGAAGAAAACCAGGAACAATCTTAGTCGAGATAGTCGGTGTTCCATCCGAGATTCGAACTGGGTACTTCCCGAATACAAATCAGAAGGGTTACAGCTTGAGCCAACTTTCTCGGCCCCAACATATCCTATTTTATAACATGTAATTACCAAAGATGACTCTTAGAGTCGCAGCTGATTGTGGATATAAGAGATATTTCCTGAAACAGATGTTACCGAATTGTCACACCGTGTGAATATATCAGAGTATGTCTGTGGGTTTGGGGGAGTATAAAAACACTTCGACACACATTCTATATAAATGAATCTCCATGTATTTCCGGAGATTTCATTTCGGAACATCGGCACGTTCCTCGCATGCTGCCTTCGAGGCATTACTGACCGTGAGCAGGTAGACTAGTAGAGTTACGTGTAAGGTTACGTAAGAACTTACCTTGTCAACTCCCACACGCTGTTGCCTTAAACCAGCCTCACTCAACCTGCAACAGAGAAAGACAGGTTTGTTCACACTGAAGCATGATAACCTCGGCTAAGTCGTTTATTTCAATAAAAAATTAATGGAAAGAGTATGCACCATAAAGACTACAAATTGGAGACAATGACCGCAACTAGTAAGCATGTCCTGTGTTTATATCTTGAGACAAGAGTTACTGGAGAGAAAATACAAGAAACTGTAGGTAAAACAGTTAGACGCTGTAATGGCGGTAGCAGGGACCAGCAGGGCGTAGTAAAATGCTGTCCGTTTAGTAAGAATTTCCAATTTATGTTATAAACTCCGTGGTCTATAGTCCGCAAGCCAACTATACCGACCGAGCGACCGCCGCCTGTCGGCGAAGTTAGTGCCAACTTTTGCGGATAGAGGGTGTCACGTGGTCAGCGCAACGGATCCCCACGGCCGTTAATCTCTGGTTTCTAGACCGGAGCCGCAATTTTCCTTGAAATAGTTCCTCAATTATCCTCACGAGGCTGAGTGGACCCCGTTTCAGATCCACTACTTCTCAGAAAATTTGGTAGCGCTGAGAATCGACCCCGGGACCTCTGGATCTGTTGCCAGGAACTCTGACCACTAGACCACAGAGACGGTCAATTTATGTTATAAAAATAACGAAAAAGTATTGGTATGCTGTCGATGATGTTTACTGGACCCTACAAGTATTTAGTCGGTTACTGAGGGACAGTAGTTCGATATCCTCTATGACGTAACTATAGCTGACATCACGTCACGTAACTAAACAATAGATTTGAAGTTCTGGTCCAATTATACATAATTTAAAATTTCTTGGGAATGTAGAAAAATAGATTAATTTTAAAAATTGAAAGTTAAAGTCTGGAGAGATGTTTATAGACCCTTAAAAGTGGAATTATGATTTTTTGGCCTTCCATATAAAATATTCAGATTTAAGGTTTGTGATCAAATAGACCTCCCATATTTAAATCGAGTTTTTGCTTTCAATTAGTGATACATAACTATCATAAATATAGAGGTATGCCAGTTATAGGGAGTTTTCTTTTGAAGTTTGGTCTTTACATTCAGGACTTTCTTTTTTTTTCACCCTGTTGTGTCATGGAATCAAGATATAAGGCGAGAAATTTACAGAGAAATTTGTTAATAAAGTTAATAAAAATTAAAGAAGTGTCAATGTTAATTTATGAATGTGTATTTTATTTATGAATCACCTGATGATGATGATGATGATGATGATCCAAAATGTAATTCGGAAGAATATCAATAAAATTAACACTAACAGTTCTATTATTTTTTATTTAATTTTATTAACATTATTAAAAAAATCTGTTATGTAGACGGTAACATTATACGTTTATTGGGAACTTGGTCTGTCACCGTGAATGGCCCTATCATACGCAGTTCCATCTTAAACAGCTGCACATGTTTCATACTGGACTGGTGGAAGTCCTTCTCACGCCGAAATAACATTCTGTAAGCGACAAATCATGTGCAGTACACCTCGGCACCTGTCGGTAATGAGGAACACTTCTCGATCTTTCTCGCAGTTACTACGTCAGAGCAATAACTGCCGTTAGGTTACAGGAACTTTGGGTGGGTTCGTCAGTCGCTCCATCTGATCCTCCCTATGCAAATGTCATATTAGGTCATAAAGAGAAATCCCCATGTCCTTAACATTTCTATTGGTACATTTTCTCAGATCACATTTACAGAGATTGTAACGGGGTATACAGAAGACAGGATTGCTGCATGTTCTCCGTATGTGGCCACTCGTCAAAGCTGCTTCAGAGAAGTTTCTTAGTGCCTTTCGAATGTTTAATTACTTTACCTAATGATTCACACCTTAATTCAATGAATTGATAGGATCAGTGATGACGTAGGATGGGAATAAACGGACGGTTCTGTACTTTACTTAGAGCAGTGGCAGAACTGCCGATCACAGTGGCCGTGCGCTCACTCGAACACTGGGATCGTGGCTTCGAATCCCACTCAAAGGAATGATTGTCTGTGTGTGCGTTTATTATGTTTGTGTTGTGATCGCTTTGTGACGGCTTTGTGACGGGCTGATCCCCCGTCCAAGGTTTCCTACCAGCTATCTCAGCATTGAGAAATTAAAGCGAAACAAGGCGTTTCACGGATGTCCTGTGCTCCAAATTGGGAGCAAGAGCAAAGAGAGAGAAAGAGAGAGAGTGGGACAATCGTCTCTTAGTAATTAAAAAGAGATAATCAGCTTTTAGTAACCAGTTCGCCACAGAGAAAATCTCACTTATCAATATGTTCTAGAACTTTCTACATAGTATAACATCACAGTTTAAGAGATATTCAAAGGAAATCGGTAATCACACTTGTCCCCACTGAGAGCGAGATTAGCCTGTAGACAATACCAGCCATACTTTCAGTCCGTATGATAGCATGTAATGAATAGATGTTTTGGGGCTGTTTAGTGTTATACAGGTGAACTACAATATGAATGGGATATTCCCTACTTCCGATCCATAATCCATTGAACTTAGTGTGAAATGACAACTGTTCAACGCCATAACAACACTGGAAAACAAATATTCCTGGTCTCCCCCTCCATCCATGGTCTAGCAGTTAATGTACTATTAAACTATTATTACTATTAATGTACTATTATAATTAATAGTGTTAAAAAAACGGATTCGATTCCCGTCGTCACAACTTAAAAAGTAAAAAGTATCCGAAAATCTATCAGTAGAACGACAGCCAATCACAAGCAAGGCCTGTACCAAATGTGCTTCAGGCAATGCCCAACATAATACTGGAATAATCCCAGTTTCCAAATAATAAGTCAGCATTCTCTTTATAAATGTACTAGTCAGTATATGTACGGACTGTTACCGTAGCTGTTACACTGGCCTACTGTGATATTAATCAAAATATTAATATGAGTCGGATTTGCCAGAGTTTTGAAAGAGAAGTAAGCATCTTCGTTTAAGCTGGTTATTTCAAGACGCTAAAATGGAGTTAGAGAGACAGGAATAGAGTGGTATGGATTGAATTGATCTGGCTAAGGATAGGGACAAGTGGAGGGCTCTTGTGAACACGGTAATGAACCTTCGGATTCCACAAAATGTTGGGAATTTCTTGAGTAGCTGCTTCACAACTAACGGATTCTCCAGAAGAGCTCAGGTCCATGGAGTTCAGTTATTTCACGACGCTGTCAGGATCGAGACTGTACAACATCGAAGACAGGATGATTGACGGATACTGAGCAATTAGTGGAATGAGAATTGATAGGCGAAACCGAAGGACTCATACAAAACCCACGCCAGTGCCACTTTGTCAACCACAAATCCCACATGACCTGACATTGGATCGAACCCGGATCGTCGCGGTGGGAATCCGGCGACTAACCTCAGCCATGGTAGGCCTAACAAGCAGATTACATGTGTGAACTGTTAGCTCTTCTGTACAGAGTATGGCTTGGGTTTCTTTTGCACAAGTCAGCTTACTTTGAATAAACTGGTAATTGTTCTGTACCACAGAATGTATGAGATTTTCCATGCTTATAAGCCAGCAAACAACATATTGTTACATGTACACCCATTGCTAGGCAACGTTCTTGGTAAAGAGTCCGTTCCTAGGTTACGCATCAATAGAGGAAGCTGTGTTTTCCGCGTCCGCGGTGACGTCACAATAGTGGATAGTGATCATGTGATGTGTTTTCTATAGGTCCGACCGACGCGCCAATAGGCTGACTGGATAGCGGTCACGTGGTGTGTTGACTATGGGTCCATGTCCGTTCCTCGGCTATATAAGTAAATCAGTTACAAGTTACGATTAATAGCGGCAAGAAGCACACGTACAAGCAAACAAATAACGGGATAGCCACGGGAAGTGCGTACATGAAGAACTAGAAGCCGGCCTGTGAAGACTTCACGTGTGATAAGAAGAATTTATTTTGGATTGACTGATTCAGTGAGACTGTTATATTTCCCGTGTTATAAACCCGTCAAGACCAATGCAGATAGACTGAAGATATTAGAGTGGAGTGATTGTAAATTGTGTAAAGCAGCAATAGTGTAATAATTAATTGTAGTTACGACCTGTAGATTAATAACAGTCTCACTGAATCACTCAAGCCAAATATTACATATAAGTAAATTCTTCTAATCACACGTCAAGTCTTCACAGGCCGTAAATCCAACTTCCAATCAAAACCTGCGTCTAAGTCACTGTGACACGTGACAATACTCTTTCATAAATGTTCTGTACCATAGTACTGAGGTTGTGGCCTGAGAGTGCCAAATGACAAAGCGTCCTGAAATTTGATCACTTTACAGCCGGGTATAAAATACAGTTTGACCTTTAGTGACGTTAATGGGAATTTGGCGATTTCTATCAGAGTTCGTATTGGCAGCGCCCGGTTCTAGAGAACGTGAGGCAGCAGCCAAGCGGGGAATGCCTACCAGACAGCGATCACGAAGTCGGACTTGTCAGCAATACAATCACATCGCGCGCCACATGCTGCTGAACTTGAGCACGTAATGGGAATTCGTGTGTCAACATGGCATGTCATATATTATACGCCTGTTTTGTCACGTGTCCATCCAGTCATTTGAATATTGTCTTCTCACGCTGCTGATCGTATCGTGCGTACAGATTGTCTGTTGCAGGTAGAAGCCATGGTGCGCATTGCAAGGGTAAAGAACTGTCTGGTGGGGGTATACGGGAAGGGTGTCTATATACTAGCTACTTAAATTTAGAGACTAAGAACTGGTGTCCCATGACTGCCAAAATTACTCAAGAATTTCCCAGAATTTTATGAGACCCGAAGGTTCATTACCGTGTTCACAAGAGCCCTCCACTGATCCTAATCCTGAGCCAGATCAATCCAATCCATAGCATTCCATCCTATCCATTTTAATATTGTTCACCCACCCACTCCTTGGTCTTCCCAGTGGTCTCAGTCCTACTGGCTTCCCCACTAATATCCTATATGTATTCCTCTTCTCCACATTCGTGCTAAATGCCCTGCCCACCTCATCA